CTTGCTTTAACTTCTCTTTGAACTCTTAATTAAATTGCTCATTACTTAGATAATCAGTAACTTTCATCCTAAAACATTCATTGTCTTTTCCTATTGCAGGATATTTCATATCTTTTGCACTATTAAATTTTACTTCTTGATCATTAACTCTCATTATTAATTCTCCTTTTTACACATCTATCATAGCTCTCCCTGTTGCAAAAAATGGTCTCTCCAAAATAATAGGAATCTCTTTATCTTCCTCCATATCTAATACTATAAAGTCTAAAGGAAAAATAAATTTATCTACTTTTACTAATACATCTTCTGTAACTCCTTTAGGATAAGTGATTGATTGATGTTGACCTCACTTTTGGTTGAGGTCTAGTTTTCCTCTTCAGTAGCCTAGGGTCTAGTCATAGGTCTTTCCTATTGATTATTCCTAGAAAACTAGAAAAGGAACCCTCACTATTAGAAATTCTAAACTCCTTTTTACTCAACTTGAAGCACTATATATTGGTTCTAAACTCTAGCACTTAGTAGGTGGGGTCAATATGGGGGAGCTCAAGGTGAGTTCCCATAGGATTACTTGACCTTAAGGTTGACTCTGGGTGTTGGTCTAGAGCTAAGGCACTCACTATAATCACCTCACTCACAATCACTCACAAGTACAAGCCCAAAATGTCATGGCTTGGATCCCTTAATCTTTTGGGAGACTCATGTAGATGGTCCCCTAAACCCACTGACCCTAGGCTAGGGTTTAGCTAAGACCAGTACATAGAGGACCCAAATGGGGATTTTATTGGTCCATAGCTCATTTATGGTGGTTAGCACCCCAATTCTACCAAAAATACTCAACTTGGCCTTTTGCCATAAACTCTCCCAAATTACCTAAGTATCATTGAAACCCTAAATTTAGCCAAAATTCTTAAATTTATTCAAAAATCATTTCAAACCTTTTGAAAATACCCAAATTACCCAAAATCATCAAAAATTGCCAAATTACCAAAATGCCCCTCCTTATCCCAAAATTCTAAAAATCCCAAAATTTTCCAAAACTTTCCAAATATTCCCAATTTCATTTTTCTCAACTACCACATAACCCAATTTGACCATCTTTGTCCAAAACCCCCAAATTGCCCGTAAAAGGCCCAATCTCCCCAAATCCACCTCAAATGTCCATCAAATTGGTCCCAATTTCCCCAAATTTCAATCCTAAACTTAAATTCATTTTCCATGTGACCATTTTAAACCAAATCCAATCTCAATTGGCTCATGTTTTGAGCCCAATTTTGATCCAAATCAAAACTCCCAATTTTGGCCACATGGTCTAATCTCACGTAATTAAACCCATAGCCCACTCAATTTGGTACAATTTATGTTTAAAACTCTTCATAACATTTCTAAACATCAAAATTGACCTTCAATTAGCCTTGGTGAAGCATCTGTTTCATTTAATTTCAACCTAAGTCAAAAACCCCAAATTTTGCCCCAAATTGGCTATGCCTCCAAATTTCACCAAATTGATTGCCTTAACACCAAAATTGGCACCCAATTCATGTTGAAAACTCTTCATCACATTCCTATTGACCATTCTCAATAATCAATTTGGACTTAGCCCAAGCCTATCCCAATCTAGACCCAGGTTTAGCCCAACATGCCCAAATTCACTAAAATTCCAAAATCCTTCAAATTGAAACCCCAATTGAACTCAAAGTTCTTTCAATCCTTCACCAAAAATGTTCATTACAATCATCTACATCAAATGCATGAATAAATTGGGCCAATTAACATGGTTAGCATAGCCCAAACCCAAGTCTTGGTCATTTTCACCCACTTGGACCCATGCATCAAAATTGACCTATACATGTCAAATTGGTCAAGACAAGGTCACCACAGCCAAGTTTTAGACCCTATTGACCAAGACAAACCCCATGGAACCACAAAAATGAGATATGGACCAAAGGATCCCAAAATTAAGGGATTTCATTTCATATTTTCTTAAGCCAAGGATATTTTTGTCAAAACTAAACACCAGCCCATTAAATTGCTGTGACATATTCCCCTAGCTCACCTGACCTCCTAGCTACCTCCCCTGGCCTGGTCGGGCGGCCTAGTGGCCAAAAAATGTCCAAATCGAGAGCCACCCCCATGGAATCAAACCTAATTCAAAGCTAGAGGCCGCCTCATCAAAATTAAGTATTAGAGCCTCTCTGCCCTCCACCTAAGCAAGCATGTTTACCCCCCAATTGGCCATGACAGCCACCCTTAAGGCATTTTTTATATAAGCTCACCTTCACAATCATGGAGGGAGTGCTAAAAATTTCTCAGAGAGACCCCTCCAAATTGCTTCTAGAGCCTCTTTGAGACCTCCTCAGTGCAACCCAACCACCACATTGCCTTACATCCCCTTACACGAGTTCAATTTTTGAGCTCAAAATCTTGTCGGAGACAAGACAAAGCTCTCCACACCTCTAAACTCCACCAAAATCAAATTAAACTCACCCACACCTTCACCACAGCGAAATAAGGAGAAGCCCCATCAAATCCCCCTCATATAGAGCCCCTAGCATAGCTCTAGACCAACACCTGAAATTTAACTTGGTCGAATTCATACACTTGGTCGAATTCATACCTTGGTCGAATTCATACCTAACCCTTTCACCACAGTAAGAGGCTTAATCTCTAGCCTCCTTGGACCTCCACAAACATGCTAAGCACCTCTGATTGAAGCTTTCCTTCTCAGAGCAAAGGTATTGAACTCCTCCTCCTCCCAAGCCTATTTTGATTCTCCATTTGATTTGGCTTAATTTAATTGTTTGATTACCGTATGGATGTGTTCGTCTCATTTAGACGAGAATCTAGAAACAAATCACACTTAATTTGGTTAAGTAATGAGTGAGATTTTAATCTTTCAAAATGGATGGTTCTCGGTCTAAGGCATTGGGGACGATGACGAGGAGCCGTCCGATCATGCGTTTATCTCATCAACAGACAAGATCTAACTAAACAATGCCTTCATACATGAACCGCGGGCCGAGTCAGTGCTGAGGTGGATGACAATGTCAAATGGGAGCGCGCCACATGGAGTTTCAGAGCTGCCGTAGGTTGACATGGGAGCCACACATTTAAATAAATAAATAGGGTATTTTTTTATTTAAAAAATAGCCCTAACTTGAAAAATTCATATCTTGGTGTAGAAAAATCACAAAAATAAAATGAAAATACCCTTTTGCTCAGTGAACAAAAAAGAACGATGTGGAAATGATTTGAAATTTATATGATGCATATTTTTTTAATTAATTAAATACTATTTCGAGTCTTTTGATTCTCCATGCATGTAGACCTTTCACCATGACTTGAAATTTTGACATGTTGTTGCCTCTGTTATGGGAACATTTTTTGATTTTTTTCCCTGTTAGGAAACATTCCCTGATTTTTCCAAAGTCAGAGGATATCTCTAGACAGAGATCCATATTTTTCAAGTTTATGTCTACTTGAGCGATACATATACTTGTGTTATTATTGCTGGGTTTGACAGCTTAGAGATTTTAAAAGATAAAATTACTTATATTGAATTTATTTTTATTGGGATTGAACTGAATATTTACTATTAATACTGTCATGTGTGTATTGTAATATTCAAAGATATTTAGAACACACATCACAAAAATCAACCACTGTATCACTCTCTAGTGTGAATTATTGTGTTTCATAGATTTTTTTTTCGGTTATTGAATTTTTTTATTGTACTGGGTTTTGATCAGTTCGTTTGGCATCTGATCTCCTTGATGTTCTTTGTTTTGATCAATTATTTTTCTGCTATTGAAGTTTTTTATTGGATTATGTTAAGTTGTGTTTTCATTCATTCATTGGCTTCTTTTATTTCATCAAATGACAGGTTTACATAGAGGGGAATCCAAAAAGAGTGTCGTTCTAAAATATGAAAGGGTCCTACTATTTATATATGGTAGGAGGAAAAAAAAACTAAAATAATAACGTTACCCTTGTTTAAAGGGGAAATCATAGGGCATTCAGGTCTTTTGTTCGTCAAAGCCTATTGTTTAGAAGCTCATCAGTGGGTTGGTTTGTTAGTAGTGTGGTGGCTGATAGATTGGTTAGTTGGTTTCTTGTGGGTGGTCGATTGGTTGGCTGGACGACTGCTTATGGGTGGTCGGATAGTTGGCTGCTCGAATGCCTCTAGGTGGCGGACTAGTTGGTTAGTGAACCGGTCATCGCTTAAAGAGTGGTGATTGGTCTTTGAGTCAGTTAATTGTCCATTGAATGGTAGTAGTTGATAGATTGGTCATCCACTAGAGGGTAATGCTCAGTCAGTCACCCACTGAAAGGTGCTAGTTAGTTAGTTGGTCGGTTGTCTCTTAAATGGTGGTGGTTAGTTGGTCTTCGAATCTCTTCAAGGTCAACAGAGAGCTTTTTTGCCATATAGAGAGTGGTTTTGTTCTTTCTTTTGTTTTTTTGCATTATTTCTTTTAAGATGGAAGCTAATATCTTTTGTTGGTTTGTTTGGTGTTGTTAGATGGTCGGTCTGTGCTTTGTGGTTGAGATGCTTTTGAATCTATTCTTTGATTAGTTGACATGTCTTCAATTGTTACGGTGTTGTTTTGGAGTTGTTTTGTGTTTCTTTTGCAGGTTTAATTGATGATGCTAGATCGGTCGACTTGCCTTCTTTTGCCGAGGAGTAGCTAGCCTGTGTTCGTTTGCTGAGGAGTGTTTTAGAGTTCCTCTATGGAGTAAATTATTGTTCTTCTTCGATCTTTTTTCTGCTCTAGAAGTTTTTTATTATATTAGGTTTTGATCAGCTCCTTTGACACCTAATTTCTTTTTAGTATTATTCATTTGATATTTTTTATGAGTAGCTGTAATTCCTTTTACGTTGGTAATAAAACTAGGAGATCCGGAATATCACCACAAAAAAAAAAAAGAAAAAAAAAAAGAAAAAACAAAAGAAGGTAATAATAAAAAAAATAAAGTAAAAAAGTCTAACCTGTTCACTTTCCGGGCTTTCCCGCATGCGAGCGAACAGCCGCATAGAACGCAGTACCCATGGCCGCTGCGCCGGCTGGCGGTCTAGGTCTGCATTCCAAAATTTCAGCGGCATATCTTTTGCCGCAGATGTTATAGTTCCGATTAACGCGCTGGAACTTAAGCGTGGCAACGGTGCTATCCCGCTGACTCCGCTTCCCTTGCTACTCTAGACGACCGTGCCTCCAGTGAGTCAAACGACTAAATTTTCCACCATTATTATCTGCTCTGTCTTCTTCTACGCTACTCCCCTCCTTTTCTTCCATTTTTTTGGTTTGATCTGCTGTTGCCTCTTGCTTCGACCTCCAGCCTCGACTTCCTAACTCCACATCTATGCTGGGGATGGATTGGTGGCTGTTAGGGCATCGCAAGGACCTTCGGCAGAGAACCTAAACTGTAAGATTTGAATGTTCAGTTTTTTGCTTGTGGAGTGCGAATTCTTATGATTCTTCCCTAGTATTGTTTATTATTATCCATCGATTTAGTATGCGCCACGTTTTTGCACGGCAGTTTCTAGCTCTTGCATTACGAGATGAATCCCGAACGTGAATTGTTTTCGGTTTAAGATGGTTAGCATGAGGGGACTAGGGTATGGATACGTTCTGCAAAATCAGTAATCATACGACGTCTGAATTTGGAGGATTTTCCTTTGTGTCTTCATCCCTTCCACGCTTGTATTTTTGAGATGCGGTTGGGTGGAAGTAAAGGCCATGGATTATGGAGATTCCCACTGCATAATTGTTTTTATAATGATTGGTATGTTCTGCACTATACTATATCTAACTTATTCTCAAAAAAAAATCTTGCACGGGTGGAAGAAGTTTGTTCGTAATGATTGTCAATCCTCAAATTGAGCAGATCTCGTTTATTATTCTTCATTCTCTATCCAACAAGAAGCTTTACTCTTTGGCTGGATGTCTATTCTTTTTGTTTCCTTGGGCCGTTGTTTAAGGTTCAATTAAGATTTATCTCTTCTATGGTACAGGTCATGGATACATGCAAACATGTTGCTGCATATACCACAACTTCAAATGATCCTTAGACGTTCAGATTTGATGTTTTTTATGTTTCCATGTTTAAATGATCTTTCCACGTTTTTTTCTTTCATAGTGATTGCAAGCATATGACATAACATTACTTCTTTTAATCCCCATTGGGAGGACAAGCTATACTGAGTGAAGAGAAACCCATAAATAATTCCAGGAAATAAAATATATAATGTAGATTTTGGTGAAACATAAATTCATGTGTCAGTGAGAAAGGGTGCAGAAGCAACGTAGATGGCCATTGTCAAGACCTTTCAATCATAATTTTTTTTAATAGTTGCTCATAATTCCACATATTTCATAATTAATTCTTTTTTTGGCATTGCTATTGCTGTTAAAAATTAGGTAACAGTTTGCAGGGAAAGTTGAGGTGATAAGCTGTTGTTGAAAAGCTTGTTGTCTTTTGTTTGGTAGACACGCGTTAGAGCTACCGTTCTCCTCAACCCTCAAGCCTGTGAACTTGGATGGGGATCAAAGGTGAGTGTGATAGTGAACAGGGTTGCAGAGGCGGCAAAGCATCATGTTGCGTAATGCAATGTAGATGTGTATTGGTGTATAGGTGAAACGAGACCAAAATGGTAGCATGAGCGACGGTGCAGTTCAAGGTGCTTGCATCTTGGATTATGTAGATGTGATGATTGACGGGTGGTCCATCACTGCTTAGTTGGATGATGTCATAAGGCGATAGCGTAGACGGGTTTTGATGTCAAGCTACACAAATGATGCATTGGGGTTTGTTCATGGACAAATTGATGATAAAATGAATGTGGGTGTGATGAGATGCATAGGCATGGCGACATCGAGGGCTTGTGCAAATGTTTAGTGGGGTGGCTTGTCTGATCACTTTCAAGAGGGGAGCTTGCATTGTCGGACCATTAAACAAGGGGAACCTTTGCTGGAAATGTAGAACATGAATGATGAACTACACATGATTTTCCCCATTTTGAGAGTTAGAATTTATCAGACAACATAATGCAACTGCACTACTAGGAGGACTTGTTGATTGAGGAATTTGAAAAGATTCTCTACTTCCAAGTGCTGAATCATGCACTAAGTTTTATGATACCGAATCCATTTTTCTTCATCTTTCCCTTCTTTTTTTCCATTTTCTCTAAATGTATTTCTGTTCAAGTGAAACCCATGAAACAACAGGGTCAATTTGGGACTTGGCATGCCAAAAAGGTTGGGGAAAAAATGTGAGACCACTACAAGGAAATTCAAATTTACTTATCCCGGTCCTTCTTTTTTCAGTAAATTTTCTGTAGCAGAATTTTGTTATAATAGAAGCTTATGAAGCCTACATCTTTCCAATGTATTAACTTGTTACATAAGATTGGGTACAGGAACATCCACTGCAAGTGTTATTGTGGAACCTATACGATGATTTTAATGGGGAAACTCCATCTGTATGCGGAGTCCTCCAAGCAGATGAAAACTGAGATATTTGAACTAGTTTAAGTAAGGGATCTGATTTTATTGGATAGGTTTTTGTGTATTTATTGAAGTCAGTCATAGTCAAGCAATAAGTGATACAAGAATGTGATCAACCACCTCAAAATAATTGATTTCAAAGCATACTTGTAGAAAGCTGAGGGAGATAGAACTCCATGGATAGGCAATAAGGAACAACTTATTCTATTTCAGCTAAACTGCTTGGTGAACGATAAAAGATTTGTTCACTAAGTTAATGAGCCGAACACAAACATTTTTTTTGCGCTTTATATATAAACGAGTGGAACACAACTTGTTCGTTTGTGTTCGACTCGTCTTGGCTTGATAATTAAACTATATATATATATATATATATATATCGTTTTTATTGCTTTCAAGCCATCACATATGAAAGCAACATGGACAAATTGATGAATGGTATTTTTAAAAAATTTAATTGACTACAAGGCTACAAAAATTTATAATCAATTAAATATAGCAATTAAAAAAAAATAAAAATATATTAATTTATATTTAAATGTTGTTTTAATATAAATAATAAAATTTAAATCTCGCTCTAACTCTTAGCATTCTACGGTTTCATGACTAGGGTTGTCAAAATGATGAGTTGTTCTCGAACAACTCGTGTTCGGCTCGCTAAACAAATGAGCCGAACAAGAGCACTTTTTTTTGTTTGAAATATAAACGAGTCGAACATGAACAATGCTATTTTTTAACGAGTCAAACATGGCTGAGCCTGAGCTCTTTTAACGAGTCAAACACGAGTTGAGCCTGAGCTCGCTCGTGTTCGACACATTTACACCCCTAGTTCTATAGCGTTCTACTATCTACTTTTGCAGGACATTAGAGTACTTTTTGATTAACAAATAATGTTATAGTACGGAAAATATATCATAATAGAGGGTTTAAAGGTAAAATATATTATTTTTTCTTAAGATAGGTGGAGCGAAGACATTACCTTTTTTTAGCAGTGTTTTGAAATATTATAGTTGGGGCATTATAAGATTTAAGGCTATTAATTAACTAATTTAGACTTGCTATTTTGAAAATTTGATGGTGTCATGTTTCAGAGGAGATGGTGATGGATTTTGTTATGAGAATTGTTAGAAAGTGAACACACTTGATTTTAAGAGATAGTTGATATCATTGAATTTAATGGTGATTTTAATGATAGGGGAGGGCTTTGAGTTGGTGGGAGGAGATTGAGATGTCATGACACTTGTGAGAGAACGCAAAGTATAGGAGAGTTAACTTAAATCATGAGACCAAGATAGTTAAATAATGGCATTAGATTGATTGTAGGCATGGTTAAGGATGGTAATCTTGTGATGGAGTAAGAAGCAATGATTGAAGCTACTATATGTATTGACATTACCATTTGGTGTAATGTAAGGTAGATGAATGAGTGGTGAGGGTAGAGGGACGAGTGAGCGTGAAACAATGCGAGTGCAAACATGTGCAATTAGCGGGGTGAGCGTGCGCAACACTGATTGTGGGAATGATGTGTTACGAGATATACCGGTTGTTGTGGTATTTATATAGAAATAGAAGAACGATCTTTGACGAAGAAAGCGAAAAATAGTACGAGAAAATTCACACTAGAAAACAGTAACACAACGAAACACAGATTTACGTGGTTCGACAAATTGACTACATCCATGGAGTTGCAGAGGATTTTACTGCTTGAGGAATTTACACCAATCTTCGTCTCGACTACAAGAGGAATCTCTCACTTCGTTGCTCTCTCTTCTTCTCTCCCTACACCGAGCTAAACCGAAGAAGCCCTACACCAAGATACACCGAAGAAGATAAATTTACAAGAGAAATAAAATCAATTTTTCTTCTGCCATAAGCCACCAGGAAGAAGCCAAGGGAGAACAATCTTCTTCTTTTTCTTTCTTCTTCCGTCTGCTGCAAGGAACTACTTCTTGCACTTTCCTTCCACTGTCCCAAGGAAACTCGAAGAAGAACGCCAAAAATCGTGACTCCTGAAACTGAAGGAGAGTAATGCGATACTTTTAATCACGAACAGGAGGGGAGCGAAGGGATGCTTCGCTTCATAACAGAGGAAGGCGAGAGCGGTTGACGCCTCCGGTTTCTGACAGACAAAGCTTTGCGTGCGTGGGAGCAGGTGGAGGCGCCGATTCGCGAAAACAAAGGAAGCTTCGCTTCGGTTCGTGATCGGGAGGCGGGAAATCGGACTCCAGCTTAACATGATGAACTTTGAGTAACATCATAGCATGATGAGCGGCTTGGGACACCATGAGTGGAAGAGTGTAGTGGTGGAAGTGAGTGCATGGAGTAGAATTTGGTCAAAACTTTTTTAATATTTTGTTGAGTGAAAATATATTTCTCTTTCTTATTTAGTATATTGGTTTCGTGTCTATAATTACGGAGCTATGGTATCATATTGAGTGAAAAGATGTTTATTTATCTAATTCAGTAGATTAATTGCTTCTTTATAACTAAAGAATTAATACAGTGTCTTAAATGCCACTCAATTAAATATGATTTATCAGGAAACTTTCTTAGAACATGCTAACACTAACATTTAAAATCAAAGGATAATCATAAGTAATATCATAAAATGAAAGAAATTAGTGTCCATCATTTACGACTATTAGAAAACTGAACTACAAAAATAAGTTGGTGATAGAATTGATCAATAAAGCTTTTGAAAGGGGGCATACCTAAATTGTACTAAACTAAATTTAGTATTGATTTTTAGGTCGTAACATGCCTTGCCAATCTTTGCTTGGAGAATAAAACTTCAATGCATTAGAGATATTAGGGCCTTAATGTACTTCGTCACCATTGTGACCATAATAATGCAAAATCAGAAGTTTTATTATACAAAATATAGTATGATTATGTGAGAATAATTTTTCTTGTATAATATTTTTTTTTACTAGCAAATGTGCTTGATATAGTCATGCTAATTTGTGCTTTTACTTGGCTATATTTACTTACAAATTATAATATTCTCATACAGAAATATGAGTTTTGAGTGAGTGGCCATGGAATGATAAATCGCCATTCATGTTAGGTTTCTTTATGTGCCTTCCATATTCTAAAGGTCAAACCTTCAAATTGATACAGTAAAAAAATAAAGAAAATTGTTGTTTTGAAAGCATTTAATTTGAAGTTGATTTTCATTGCTATTATGTGGTGTTGATCAAATCATTTTCCATCATCGATGTACTCTTCTAAGTTGTCAAACTTTTTAAATCCATTTGTGCTATATTTGTATTTAACATACTTTAGTATATAACTAGTAGTAGATCCATCCACCCTCACATAACTTTATTTTTAGCATTGTCTAACTGACCTTATTTCATAAGATGTACAAGTAATTTTCTATTATTTATTAAGGATTAAACATTATTTCTTTTTGCTTTTAAGGTTTTTTGTTTTGAAAAATTTGGTGAATTGAAATGCTTTTACTTCACAATTTTATAACATGTTTGATTTGAATGTAGTTAATAGGAAATTGAATATACGTAATGGCAAAGAGGTTTTTTTCATTGACAATTATTTTCCTAATATTAGTGAAAAATTGAAATAAAAAGCTTATTGCTTCATCAGCATCACATGCTCCCTTCTCATCATCAAACTTGCCATCATTATTAGAAGTGTAAACTTTTTGGTGATTTTATGAATCTTTATTTTCTATTATTTCTTGTTGAGTGTTGTATAAGTTTTTAAACTCATCCTTCACAAACCATTTTTAGCTTCTATGCACTTTTCCCTTCTTTTTAGTCTTCTAGCATTGATTTTACCTCCTTGTATGGTTAGTGCTTTTCTATTCTTCTAGCACCGTAGATGTCCAACATCTAACCCAGCCAACATCATTATTAGGGTTTTCCCTTCTTTTTAGTCTTCTAACATTGTTTTTACCTCCTTGTCTAGTTGGGCTTTTTAATCCTTCTACAGCTGTAGATGTCTAACACATAACCCACCCAAGTCTATTTTCAATTACCTTTAGTAGAAGTTACTTCTATTCATTCTTTAATATAACCATTCCTTAACTTATACTTTCTAATTTTGTCATACATTTATCTTAACATTTTTATTTATGCCACACTTAATTTAGATATCAATGAATCTCTTGTACCACAATATTTGAATTCATATGTCGCTAGCCTGATTGTAGTTTTATAAAAATCATCATTAAAAGTCTTCATGATATAATTTTATTGGATAATACTTTTGAGGTGCTTATCAATTTTAACCAGCCAAATTTAACTTTTTGGAAATTATATTGTTATATACATTTTTATTATTATGCATAATAGATCCAAGTTATTTAAACCTATTACACTTATGTGTCACTTTATCTTCTTATATTTTTCTTTGATGATTATTAATATGACAATCACACACTAAAATTTATAATAAAATAAATCATTGCACCACTAATTCCATTTTTTTTTTCTTCGAAATATTTTCTCTTTTGTTCTAATTTTTATTTATTTTGGTGGATGTCTCACCGATTTGAACTATATCATTTGTGAAAAAACATGCAATGATGTCTAAAGTACACTATAGTTTGTCTAACATAAGTGTCTCACAAGTAAAAGTAATGTCTAAAGTACACTATAGAACAACCACGAGTCTAAGTTTCACTCCTCAACTCAAGCATAAACACACTTTTAATCCTCAACCAAATCATGAATACTTGCTTTACTCAACTAAAACATCCCAGATTTGTTTATTCAATTGAATCATTCTCCTGAACACCCTTCGAATAAGGTGTCTCAAAGTGATTAACTCCCAAATATTTCTTTGGCATTGATTGTCCCATACGATATTAAAAAATTTCAACCAACATGCACATAGAATCCTCATTTAAGACCCTGAAGTCCATATCGTCTTGACTTGTATCTGCATATAAAATTATAAAATTATGGAAAGTTACAGTTAATACAAATATTTTTGATGGAATGTGTTGACATATCTCGGAGTATGACCTATTTCATTTTTCATACACAATGCTCTTTCAATTACATTCGTGATGATGAGGGCCACATGTTAAATAATTCAATTCTATTTTTAACCACTCTGCCGCATTCAAAATCAGAAATGTGATTTCGTAATGGGAAATGACTTTAAGAAACTGTGTTGCATGGGATATTTGGAATCGACAAGATAATATTTCCTTGGATAGTACAAATATTTAGATTCTACAACAAATTAAATTTTATATAATTTCAATAATGTACTAAACGAGAGGTGGCATTGAAAATTTATATTCACGACTCCGAGCTACAAATTTGAATATTCAATTAGCATGAGCACTGTCTTCTCATCCAGCTATTAAGAAGTTAAAGCACATGTTGAAGCCACAGATTGCTAATATATTCAGTGTTGGGGACCCACAATGACCAATGTACACAATGTTGTCATTTTTTCTGACATTTTCGTCAACATGTGCTCCATCAATAGATCATATACAAGCTTTTTTGAATGCTTAATCATGAAATTTATTTTTAGTGAAACAAGAATGCCAAATAAAAAAAATTATATTTTGTACATTGAAAAATGACACGTATTTGAAATCGTTATGTATTTCTTTTGGTGTTTGCTCAAAAAATAGGATCTAATAGTTTGACTATTTTGGATGACAATCTTGCCAAAGAATTAAGCCCAATATTAAAATATTTGCTAGTAGTCTTAGTGTAGAGTTGAAATCACTCGAAGTAGCATTCATCGACTCATTATGTGACAATAGGTATAAAATAGCGACCAATATTTCTCCAGGTGTAAATTTGGATGGTCCATGCAAATCATGAGGATTTTGCAATCATCCAACAAATGACATAAAATTTGTTTTGACATTTAGAGCATGTTATGAATTATGTCTTGATGACTTTAAAGGAGTTCGTCAATTCATTTGTCACCTACCGAGGAGAATGTCATGCATGGGAACTCATACAAATAATTTTGGTAGTATTCATTGATGGGACATATTATAGTTGCCAAAATTATTATTTGTTGTACTGTCTATACTTCATGATGTATGTGGTAATGATTCATATTGTCTGCTTCAATTACAATACCTTTTGCTTGATGTTCTTATGTGTTGAGGACTTATTTAGCTGGGTTACAAAAATTTTTATTTCATGAAATATGTCTGTTATTTGTTGAATGGAAAAAAAATGTAAAATATGGGAAAGATTATAACGTACGATGTAAAAAACAATTTTTTGCTTATTTATCAAATGAATTTTTGCTTATTCCATGAACTTCAAATACTGAGTTAATTTAAAAGATTATATGTCCAATGCTGTCTTGTTACATAATAGCTATTGAATGGGCCTCTTTTTCATTAACTCAGTGTTTGAAGTTAATGGAATTTTCAGTTGACAATAATATTGTCCATTTTTTGATACAGTAAAGAAATAAAGAAAATTGTAGTTTTGAAAGCATTTAATTTGAACTTGATTTTAATTGCTATTATGTGGTGTTGATCAAATCTATTTCCTTCATCGATCTCAAACTTTTTAAATCCGTTTCTGCTATATTTGTGTTTAACATATTTTAGTATACAACTAATAGTAGATCCATCCACCCTCACATAACTTTATTTTTAGCAATGTCTCACTGACCTTATTTCATAAGATGTACAAGCAATTTTCTATTATATATTAAGGATTAAGCATTATTTCTTTTTTGCTTTTAAGGTTTTTTGTTTTGAAAAATTTGGGGAATTGAAATGCTTTTACTTCACAATTTTATAACATATGTTTGATTTGAATGTAGTTAATAGGAAATTGAATATCCGTAATAACAAAGATTTTTTCATTGACTATTATTTTCCCAATTCTACCTTCTCATCGTCTAACTTGCCATCATTATTAGAAGTGTCTTAACTTTTTGGTGATTTTATGAATCTCTATGTTCTATTTTTTCTTGTTGAGTGTTGTATAAGTCTTTAAACTCATTCTTCACAAACCAATTTTAGCTTCTATGCATGTTAATTTGGGGTTTTCCCTTCTTTTTAGTCTTCTAACATTGATTTTATCTCCTTGTCTGGTTGGTGCTTTTTTATTCTTCTACCACTGTAGATGTCCAACATCTAACCCAGCTAACATCAAAACCTAAATTCTCACCATCAATTAGAACTGAAACTATTCTTCATCAATCAAATAAATGGATGAAAGTGATTTGTTCTTTACCATTTTAACTTCTTTTTCCTTTTCAGTTTTCTTTTAATTCCCATAAACCAAACATACCCTTGTTATTGAGTGATAATCTGTCTTGTAACCATGAATATTATTTTGTGGCAGAATAGATATATTGATTGTGTTCTTAAGTAATGGAAGAATACTGGGATGGAAGCTATGATGCCAGTAGGCACTCTGATGAAAGCTGTCATGAAAAGCTGCACGTCGAGCCTATTTATGAGTCATTTCTCTGTCCACTGACAAAACAAATCATGCGAGATCCTGTTACCATAGAAAATGGGCACACTTATGAGAGAGGGGCAATTATGAAATGGTTTAGGGAGTGCAGGGACAGTGGAAGGAGGCCTGTTTGTCCATTAACATTACAAGAATTGACTAGCACGGATTTAAATCCCAGCATTGCTCTGAGGCATACCATTGAGGAATGGACACAAAGAAATGATGCTGCTCAACTTGACAATGCTTGCAGATCCTTGAGCCCTGGTAGCTCAGAAAGTGATATTTTACAAGCATTAGATTACATCATAAGAATTTGCCATAAAAGCAGGTTGAATAAGCATGCTGTGCGAAATGCGGATCTAATCCCTATGATCTCAGATATGCTAAAAAGTACTAGCATAAAAGTTCGCTGCAAATCCCTGCAAACTCTTTGTGTAGTTGCTGAAGATGATGATGAAAATAAGGTTGTCTAAGGATTGCTGCTATTTTCTTTTTGTTGACTATCTGCACAATTTTTACTATACTTTTAACGAAGTTTCTCTTATTCTGCAGGAAGTTATCGCCGCAGGGGACATTGTTCGGACAATTGTGAAGTTTCTATCACATGATCACTCTCAGGAGAGAAAAGAAGCAGTGTCCCTGCTTTTTGAACTTTCGAAATCTGAATCTCTTTGTGAAAAGATTGGTGGAGTCAATGGAGCTGTACTTATATTGGTTGGTTTGGCAAGTAGTAAGTCAGAAAATGTCTTGACTGTTGAGAAAGCTGAAAAGACATTGGAGAATCTGGAGAAAGATGAAAAAAATGTGAGGCTAATGGCTGAAAATAGCAGGCTAAGACCCCTTCTGACACGATTGCTTGAAGGTGGTTCTTTTTCCATGTTATCTGCTTTTGGGTAGTCCACCTGAGTTCATGTTTAAAGGAAATCATCTTATGTGAAATGCTAAGTTGTGGCCTGTTTCTTTTCACATTGACCTTTTTTCTGTCCATCATATGCTTTTTTCCTGTAGCTTTATGGTTTTTAAATTCATGTTTCTTCATATGGGCAAGCACTTTTTTTGTAATTTATGTAGTTTGATGTTTTTGTTTACAGCATAAAATTTCTCTCATCTAGCCAATTTGTTTTTCCTGTATGAACTTCTATTCAATAGGTTATTTCCGAAGTTTTTATCAACTTATGAAGAATTCGTTGATATGCTGGTTGACCTTCGAGCTAGATTATGTGATCATGAAAATTGGCTGCATTCTTGATTCATACTTTTTATTTTCTTTTTTATTTTTCTGACATATTTTTTTGTCTTCTGTTTTGTTTTGCAAATGCATTGATGATGTTTACCTTCTAAAGAATCTTGTTTGTCTTTGACATAGGCCCACCTGAGACACAGCTGTCCATGGCTGCATACTTGGGGGAACTTGTTTTAAGCAATGATGTCAAGGTATTTGTAGCCCAAACAGCTGGCTCTGCCCTTGTTGATGTCATGAAGTCAGGTAGCAAGCAAGCTGTTGAAGCTGCACTTAAGGCACTGAATCAGATCTCATCACATGAGGCAAGTGCAAAGATACTCATCGAAGCTGGAATCCTTCCTCCTCTTGTCAAAGACCTCTTTATTGTTGGCACTAACCAGCTTCCAATGAAATTGAAAGAGGTGTCTGCAACTGTTCTTGCTAATATTGTTGCGTCAGGTGCCAGTTTTGAATCTATCCCACTTGATTCAGGTCACAAAACTCTTATCTCTGAGGACGTTGTCCACAATCTTCTCCATCTCATCAGCAATACGGGCCCTGCAATTGAGTGCAAGCTCCTTCAGGTGCTTGTCGGGCTCACAAGCTCTTCCACAAGTGTCTTAAACATTGTTTCTGCCATCAAGAGCTCAGGTGCTACCATCAGTCTCATACAGTTTATTGAAACCCCTCAGAGAGACATTCGCATGGCTTCCATAAAGCTGTTGCATAATATATCTCCTTACATGGGGCAGGAACTCTCAGATGCACTACAGGGCACTGCTGGCCAGCTTGGTAGTTTGATTAGAGTTATTGCAGAAAACAATGGGATTACAGAGGAGCAAGCAGCTGCCATCGGGCTCTTAGCTGAACTTCCTGAGAGGGATTCAGGTTTGACCAGGCGGCTTCTAGCTGAAGATGCCTTCTCTATGATGATTTCTAAGATTTTAAAGATCCGGCATGGGGATATTCGTGGCAACAGGTTTGTCACCCCTTTTCTTGAAGGGCTGGTCAGGGTTCTCTCTCGGATTACCTATCTCTTAGAGAGTGAATCTGGGATTGTAGGCTTTGCTCAGGAACATAATCTCTCAGCCCTATTTACTGATCTCCTTCAAACAAATGGGATAGATAAGGTACAGATGGCTTCTGCTATCGCACTGGAGAATCTTTCACAGCAATCAAAAAATTTGACAAGAATACCAGAGTTCCCCGAACCTGGTATCTGTGCTTCAATATTTCCGTGTTTCAGTAAACAAACAGCTGTGGTTGGGCTTTGCCGCATCCATCGTGGTCACTGTTCTATAAAGGAGAGCTTCTGCCTTCTGGAAGGTAAGGCAGTAGAGAAATTGATTGCTTGTCTGGACCACAATAATGAGAGAGTGGTGGAGGCAGCACTGGCTGCGCTCTGTACTCTTCTTGATGATGGAGTGGAAATTGAGCAAGGAGTACTTGTTCTTTGTGAGGCGGATGGCATCAAACCAATTCTCGAGGTGCTGCAGGAGAATCGGACTGATGTTCTCAGGAAGCGAGCTGTGTGGGCGGTGGAGAGGATTCTAAGAACAGAGGACATTGCTTATGTAATCTCAGGCGATCAGAATGTGGGAACAGCCCTGGTTGAAGCTTTCCGTCATGGGGACTATCGAACTAGGCAGATCGCAGAACGGGCATTGAAGCATGTTGACAAATTGCCTAACTTCTCTGCAATATATCCCAAGGTTGGGGGTTGATTAGTCTGGTGAACATCTTTGTCTGGTATGTATCTATAATATTTTTTTACATAACTTTTTTCTTTGCTTGGGTCTTGGGTTACTTTGATTCTAGATTTGTTTTAAATTATGGCCAGATTCTCCATGCTTGTTAATATGCTCATGATTTGTTCAAGCATTTTTCACTTGAGAATCAAGGTGATTGTTTCTTTCTACATCAGGAGTGCCACTGATCTTAGTGAATAAGTGTACCAATTTCAATTTATAATCAGGCCGGCTGTTGAAATGCCTTTTAAATTCAGCGACTTTAAATATCACTATTTAAGCATAATCTGTGGTTAAAAATGAGTTATGATTCTTTGTTTGCTTTGAGATTAGTTAGATGGTATAGACTCACTTTTTCTTTTATGCTATGGTAAAAAATGAAGCATTTTTTGCTTAATTTGCACTTTGTGTTCATAACATTTTTACCATTTTCAATATAGAAATACACATTATGTTTGGACTTCTACATGGACACTTGTCTTCCTGTTTACATGTTTGAAATTTTGACGCACTTGTTCTCATTTCTTTGCTATATGATTACTTCCTATATTTGCGTCCTTTTGTTTATAATCTAAGTTGGGCTAGATTTTTATGATTCTCAGATAGTTTCAACTGCTCGCCATGATTTGTACTCCTTATTTTATTTTATTTTATATGACGTGTTAAATTCTTACTATTAGGCCTATAAACTGGTTGAGCTATAGTGTGCTGAGGCTTGCCTCGTGTTCGACTCTTTTGAAATTAGCTTGTATTTGAAATTGCTTGTGAACAACGTTGGTGTTCAGCTTAATTTATTCTTTTTTGGCTCGATTTTGCTCAAAATTGGCTCGTTTAAGTCAAATAGAAAAATATAGTATGGTGTTGGATGCAAATCTACACCAATGCCGCGCAATAGAAAGTATAAAATCACATGACCACATGAGTTGTTATGATTTAAATCTATATATAAATATATTTAATATATTAGTATATAAATAATATATATAATTTCTTTATTTTGAGCTAAAACGAGCCGAACACAATTGAACAAGGTTTGTTCGTGTTTAGCTCGTTTAAAATTTGAAATTCGCTTGTTTATTTAACGAACGATACTTAACAAGCTGAACATGAGCTCTTCGAGAACAACGAGCTTTTTTTACCGCCCAACTTCCTTCTTCTATAGGCATAACTGTAAAATACTGTAGATTGTTTGGGGCCGCTTGAATTTTTTGAATGTACGGCTTCTATTAGAATTGTATTGAAAACAGTTGCTCACAGTACTCAGGTGTATTGCCGGCGTTTTGTTTCTTATACTATAAAAACTGTAGGCATGTTAGTTTTGGTCACTGTTGGGCATATTTATTTTGCCTTCTTTTGTTATTTATCAGCAACTATACGAAAGCATGTTTCAGTTTTGCTAGAGAGAACGAAAAAGTTCTGAAACGGATCAATAAATTAGCCAGTGTGAAATATCCTATGTACACGCATGCATATGCTAAACATTTAAATCTTTCATTGCTTCTTTCTGTCATCTAAACTCATTAATGCTTAGCATTGCATACTTATGGAATGACTCTAAGGTGCATGGGAGGTCATTTTTGAAGATCACAAGTCTAAACGTAGGGCAAGATAAAACCAGGTGATTTATTGTTTGAGCCTGCTGTTTCCGATTATGGACAAGCTGATACGAACTTTCCGTGAAATTAACAATAACTTTTTAGGAACACTGTACTTGTCCCAAGTGATTTTTCTCATTGCAAATATTTAGTCCAATTTCTTAGATGGCTATTGTAGGTGTTTCAATATCTTGGCACATGGAACATGCCGTGCTATTCAAATGTCTACTGGTTGGGCTGTTATGATTTTCAGAAGTATGGTTACGCATATGAAATAACAACTTAATAGGTGTGAAAATTTTACAGGAGAAAAATCGCTGAACTGAACTAGATGACTAATGCCAATTAATATGGTTTTACTAAACATTAAATGAATTCCAAGGCCATTTAGAAATGCATACGTTATAGTGTTTGGGGTGCGCATTTGGGCAGTTGGTCTATGTGGAAGAATTTATTGTTGAATTTATCAAATCAAAATTGGCCGAATCATGGGTAAAATCTATCCAAACTAAATTTAAATATAAATTAATTTATCCGACCATGTTTCAAGAATGTAATAACAAATGTATATATATATATATAT